AAGCCTTAAATAAGTAGAGTGAGTGCTTTGAAATAAGCTGTGACTATTAACATGTAGCACTGGAAAAACCCAATGAGTGAGCCAAAATGTTTCTCTGGATTAGTAGATTATAACAAGAAGAAGAAACACGGAAAAGCAACACACAGTTCTTTACCTGTTTGGAAAACTTCCCTGTATCCATATGCAGCCATCATTTTTCAAACCTGTGGAGGGAGTGATGGCATGCAGCAGTCAATATTTTCCTGAGTTCTAGCAAGATCCAGTACATCTCATTGGGAATGTGCAAACTTTTCTCTTGGGATGCTGTTGGATGTAGGATAAATTGTTGTGCAGGTTTTTCAAACAGCACTGTTAAATTTGGACTGATCTCTATGGAGGTCCAGGCAAGTTTTGTTACTGTAAACATCTGTCTTTGCTCTGATTCTGATGTTTGCTAAGAAAGCAAATGTGCTCTGTTTTCAATCTTTGATACCAGTTTTCTTTTATCTGGATTGTAAGCAAAAAATCATCTTTCATAATTAAGAAATATTTTCTGTTTTCTCTGACACTATTTACTTTAAGACGTGATATTTCTTCAATTTTTGTGTAATCATTTCAAAAATAGAACAAGACCAAGCCAAATGAAAAACCTGTATTCAGCCTTGGTCAGGTAGCAAGATGACAATGTGAGTTATTGCACAGAAGAAAATTAAGCTGCGAGATACATGTGCAATCTTGGATGGAAAAATCTATTTGTAGTTGAATGGTTCAAAAAGATGAAGTTACTCTTTAGAGCTGTTGGTGATAGCTTAAGTTTTAGTAGACTTTTTTTAATGAGGAAGATAAAAAAATAATTCACAGGAATTTAAAAATATTATGGAAAGATTAGCAGCATTCTCAAAAACCTGAAAAATAGGATAGGAGACATTTTGACTTTGCAATAGGGCAAATTTTTTCTAGCATCCATTCAAAATTTTATGTGATTAGTTCTTCTGTTGACTTTGAAAAATTTTTTTACTCAGCATAAAAATCCTAAGCCTTTTCCTAAATCAATTCCTAAGCAGAATAGTTTTTGCCAATGACTGTGTTGTGAGCACCATTTTTCTTCCATTTTTCCCCACATTTTCAGTATGTTTTTTTATTGTTTTTCTGCTAACAATTGACTATAATGAATTTTTAGACTTTAAGGAAAATTAATTTTAAAAGTACAGAGAAAATTATATTAAAAGCAGAGTAGAGAGCATTAGCTGAATTTCTCATCCCTCATTACTTTCCCTCTATGTTGTCTGACATATTTGTCTTCTGATTCCATGTTCATCCAGTCTCCTTAGGCACAGTTTCACATAATGTAAGTAAGTATGAATCTCAGACTTGCAAGATAAAAAGATGTCAGTGCATCTGTTCTGGTCTTTGAATTGCCTCACTTTTATGATGTCACATGGCTATTACATTTCATTTTGGAGACATTTTCTTGTATTTTGTCTTTCTATTCTTCCTAAAGTATAATGAAATCTGTGTAAAAACTCTGAAAAATCTCTCTGATAGTCAAGGCTATTTAAGTAATTTTTAGCAATATATTGGACTGATATAAAATATGGCAATTTATCTTGCTTGATTAGGACGTCTGTGTGGTTTAAGAACATATTAAATCACGAGATTATGGATTTTTGACTGAAGAAATTGTCCTGTTTCATTTATCATTTCAATACAGATTTTTTTAAACTGTCCATGATTCAACTCATAAACCATAATGACTTATTGAATCTTTGTTACCGAACCAGCAGCCACTAAGTTAACTAATTTGTGTCACCATTTGATTTTGAAGAATGAGCTGCTTGAGGTGAGTTAAAAACCAGGAATGCAAAAAATTATCTTTCAAATGAAATGTGAATCATAAATAGAATCTTTTTTAACCACCCCTTGCACATTAGTTGATAGCAATCAACAGTTTTATAGGGAGTCAAAAAAAAAGCTTGATAAGATTAAAAACTAAATAGATTTTTGATTTTATAACAGAGCATGCTATGCACTATTTGTGATTAACATATCTGTTCCTCATGTATCGGTGCTAAGAATTTATTTTCAGAAATGAAATTTCTGAAATTTCATAATCTCTTTAAATGCCATTTCTGCCAAGTCCCAATGTGCAGCTACACTGAGATATGGTCCAAAACTCTCAGTCATATATCATATTAATCCAATATTTCAGTTCTTATATATGCATGAACTATTAATTTTAAGTTAATATTAATTTTAAGTTACAATCCCTTTCAGTAAATAAGTTTCTCTAAGTTTTTATAGGTCAAAGATTTTTAGAAGTCAGAAAGTTTCCCATTAACAGAAATGTTTCAAAAATATAATCTATTTTACCTAAAACATGAAAATTTTCAACAGTTTCTCACCTTCATTGTATAAAAAATTTGCAATATTTTGCTTAATTGCACATGTTTAGTATATTTAGATAAACTAAGATCATTTTTGGAACTTAAAACATCATAATTCTCAGAGTTATCTATTAAAATATTTAGCAAGTATTTTTTTAGTTTTGCCTTATTTTCCAGAATACAGCCTGTGCTATTTTAATCCACACATGAATATGCACATGCACTCAAACAAACTTGTAAATGTTCCTAATTCTAATCATACAGCCTTTGTTTGACAGTTCCTCTCTATATTGAATAGTAGGTATTGAGCCTGAAGGAGAAATGCTTTTCTGTTAATAAAACTTTTGGTACAGCAGGTTGTCTGGGAAATCAATCTAATTTTTCCTCATGATCTACAGGGGAAAGGGAGAAATATCTAAGGGAGCAATTGCCCTAAATTTCATGGCTACCTTAGTACTGAGTCAATCAAATGTGGAATATCAATACATCAGCACAGCATGAGTGACTGTATCCTGTGATTGTGATGAATAGTAGATTTAGAAATATGAAAGACAAAAACACTAAGAAGGGATTACATACAGTGTTACAGTGATATCAGATATCATCAGGCAAGATGATATCTTGCTGTGTGTCCAATTTAAATTAAAGAAATGAAGATGAAATCAAATTAATTCAATTGAATTGATTTTGAAGCATAGATGTTTCATTTCCTAGAAATTAGAGATCATGCATTTTCTTCAGTTACAGACAGAAAATGTGCCAAACTTCTATACATAGTAGTACAATTTATTTATACTTATACACCTCTTCTGTGTACAACCACCTTAGTCAATGAGGTCTAGAGAGTGCAATCAAGTCAGAGGGATGAGAATCTTATTCATGGATAGCATATGAAACAGCAAAAATTAGATAAATTTGAATAAACATTGAATTGAAATAATTTAAAACTTCTCTTACTTTACCAGTCTGTTATTTGTTTGGGTTTTTTTTTTTCTCCCCTTCTGAATAGTTCTTAATGCATTCTTAGGAATGAATGAGATTTCAGAGAAGAAGGGTTTTTAGTTGTTGCATAATACAGTGTTTAGCACTCTTTTTGATGGTTGAATATTGTGGTACAGATCTGTCTTCTGTTTGACTTTTATAAACTTATTTAGTCACCAAACGAGCAGATACTTCAGCACAGGTTCTTCATTGAACCTGAGACTATATGACAGTTTTAGTATTTGATATTGACAAAATAATTAAGTATTGTGGTGTCAGTGTAGTAAGAGAAAAATGGACCTTCTCCCTCTCTCTGGCTATAGACCATAAAATATCCAATAAACTGTGACAGAGACTAGTAGTTTTGAATTCATACAAGGGGATTTTGAAAAAGCCAATAATTTCCAGTGTGCTATGATAAAAAAAATACAACCTCCCCCATCCCCAACCCCCCCAAAAAAAGATAAAAACAATAGACCCACTATTTATTTTAATGCATATGCCAGGAAAAAATATTGCTGAAAATTCTCTGCCCAAAATTATGGAAATAAACTAGTGTAAATTTCTTTTCAAAAAGTACATAACATTCAAAATCTGGAAGGATAAAATATGCGGTAAAAACATTCATTTTAGGGACATTCATATTATTACTGCACGTACAAACTTGTTGACTTTTTTACCTTTTCGTTACACAATTATTATTACATTATTATTACTGACATTTAAGACAATGTCCCATAACTTCTTTGTCAGTTTCACTGATGCATTTAAAAATAGATCTATCCCATTAGCAGCACTGTATGAAATAGGGTTGAACTATTTTCCATAGCAGTAGTGTACCCATGCACACTGGAAAATATTGCTAATGACACGGTTTTAAATCAAATGTCCCATTAATGTGTCTACTTCCTGCTCAGTGGTTCTCCAGATCCTGGCACAGTGGTGACTTACGTTCTTCTACTCTTCAAGGATTTGATATTAAATAACTCAAAATTAACAGGATAGGTAGGAAGTTGCATCCTAAATTGCGCTGGAATAAGTTCTAGTTCAAACATCTGTGTCAGGAGACCTGCAGCTAGTGGTAAGGTTCTACAGGATTCTACAACTCCATTGTAGCTATAGATGAAGTCTGTTCAAAATAGTGGCTGAAAATAGTCTGCGAATCTCCTATTTCTAAGCAAAAGGTTCAAAACTCCTACAGAGAGATTTTCAGGGAGTAAAAAAGAAACTGACATTAATTGGAAATGAAATTTGTAACGTATTGTTTAATGTGTAACTGTGAACTTGCATGTGGAGACTGTATCTATGTTGCTGTATAATAGCAGTTGCTAGACTTAGAATTCCTCACTGGTGGCTCCTTACACTTCACTTACAATAAATTTCACTGATGTGATTTGTCAGCAAATATGTAGAATGCACCTTTAACGTCCCCGGAGTATGTGGTCTGGGCTTTTTGTTGCTACTAATACAATAAGTATTTCTTATGTTTTTGCATTGTCCTAACAGGCATCATTTATAAAAACTGTACAATATTGTGTCTGGGGTTCAAGCTTTGCAGCTATGTTAAATTTGACAGACATCAGTTTATTCACGTGAAATACTTGCAACAAAATAAAATTTCTGAGAAATTGTCAACACTATTGATTTTTTTGTCAGATAGTCTACATGGGCTGGACGGAAGAACGGGAACAAGACTCCCTTCAGGACCGAATGTACACACCAAAGTTTCTAGCACTGAGGGGAGCTTCCCTGTATAAATTTATAGCACCTCCAGTAAGTATGATTCTTATGCTTAGTGGGAATATCTATTATTAAATAAAATAATGTTATGTACTGTGTACAATGAGATATCACTCATTGGCTAGCAGGACAGCATTGAAGAGTTCCAGGATGTGTGTGATAGAAGTGACAGAAAACAGCTCTTCATCAGATGATTGGGTATCTAGCAAGAACTTATTTTCCCACACTTAAATGAACACTTAGAAAAATAAAAGAGAAATCTTCTCATGTTAAAAGGAAGCTTTTAATTTTCCTTTGGCAGACAGAACAGGCCTGAAGCAAGGTGGTTAGATTTAAACTGAACCATCATTCTAGAGAAACTGCTGAGATTTGGGGAAATATCAAAGCTTTTTACACATTGTGGAGATGGCAATATGTCTCTATTTAGATTCCATCCTGAATGTAAGTTTTTGCTGCTTGAGAACACCAAAAGGTAGGTAGGGAATCAAATGAAATTAAGTTAAAAATATTAATCGGAATCTCACATGGAACACTGGGCAAAATTTTAGGGCTCGTCTTATACTCAGCAATTTTCTTTCACAGTCTTATGGTACATATAAGATGCAGTAAAGATCCTCTAGCTAACTTTTAAGGCAGTTGCTAAGGAGACAGTAGCAGTCCAAACCATGCCTGCCACAGGAAGAGTCATGTGGATTAGTTTTTCCTCTTTATTGGGTGACCTTTCTGACTGCTGCTAAACCCTGTGTTTGTGAGATCCAGGCTGTAGCTCCTCCCTGTCTGAAACAGAATCTTAGAATAGTTTGGGTTGAAAGGGAGCTTTAAAGGTCATCTAGTCCAACCTCCCTGCAACAAGCGGGGACACCTTTAACTGGGGCAGGTTGCTCAGAGCCTGTCTAACCTGGTCTTGAATGTTTTCAGAGATGGGGCATCTACCGCCTTTTGGGGCAATCTCTTCCTGAGGTAGTTCAGAGGTATTTTGCAAATCTTTAGATTGATCATCACTAAAGGTTTAAAAACATGTGAAAGACATGGGGAATGGAAGTAAGTGTGAACTGAAAACCTTATGTGTTCAATGTTTGTAGACTAGTTCACAGGTATGGGATTTTGGTTCTCTCAGGTCTGTTAATGGTAGCTTGGCTTTTTTTTGGTGGATATTTTTCAGCGTCAGATTAAAATGTCAGATTATGCTAACAAGCACCTTAATTCAAAAACAGTACTCCTGTCTTTGCCAGACCTACTTGAGCATTTGCTGTCTGTCAAGTAAAACCAACTCCATCTGGGTACTAGATAAAATCAGAATCAATTATGAGAAATCCTGTTCAATATAAAAGGGAAGATTATTCTTTTTAAAGAACTATGGAAGAGACCACAAGCCTCTTTACTGAAGAATAATAAATTTCAAGGAATAATATACTTCTAGGGGGTAAATGTCTGATGGGGGATGATTAATGGGTGTGAAAGGAACATGTTCATATGAAGAGTCTCAACCATGGTGATGTGAGTAAGGAAAAATTTGGCAAGCTGCTATTGTATAAGACAAGAAATTCATCCTCAAGTTTTTATAGCTCTGGTTTCAGCTCAGCTGCAAGCACAAAATGAATTTGTATTGCCAGATTCTGATTCCTACTCTAAAATAGAAAAAGTGTTCAAATGCAGAGAAAAATATTTTGTCTTCATGGAGTAGGAGGGAAGCAGAATGATAAGCATGCTTTTTTAGGACAGAGGAAGAGCTCCTACAGTGCTGCCTTAAAGACATAGAATCATAGAATGTTTATGTTAGAAGGGACCTTAAAGATCAAGTTCCAGTATATAATGTATATAATAATTGCACACTTCTAAAATACTATTTTCTATATGCAAACTTTTACACATACATTATGTTTGCTATTCTGCAGGTTTGTCTCTTTCTGGGATTAGAAAATATTATGAACAAAGTTTCAATGACAGTTTCAGAGCTTCTTTTTAGGAGATGCATAAAGTGTAGTTAAAATAAAAACTGTTTTAATTGTATGTGCAGAATAAACTACTTGAACATAGTTGTTTCCTGAAAAGAGATGTCCTGCAAACTTTCTTAACCAGAAAATCAAACAAAGGTATTTCCCCAGTCTCTGCCAAAGTCTAACACATTAGGGAAGCATGAACAATGCCTATCAACATCTTCCCTCTGCCTCTTTTTTTATCTGTTTGATAAAAAAATAGTACTTCTACTTCCCATACTCAGATAAAAGAGCAATCTTAGTGTTTCTTATTTTCATTTTGAAATTTTTAAAGAAAATTACTTCTTTACTATTTTTCCTATTATTTCCTGGCACATTTCCTTCTTTAGAATTCTTTATTGTGTCAAGTCTGGTGGGTTTAAATTTCCTCCAATTTATAATTGGAAATTTACTTGAGAAAGAGCCACTAACATCCTTTCTTTTTCTACTCAACATTTTAAATTAAAACATTAAAAGTGAATGGTGCAGCAATCTCTATGGGTGTCTTAATTCTACAATTGCTTTTGTTTTGCACATATCTTTGTTCAGAAAGAGTTTTGGTTTGACCTGAAAAGAAGTCTCTTTACAGGTACAAACTAAAGCAGGAGAGCAGAGGAGAAGAGGGAGATCTTGTATTTCCCCCCAAAGTATGGAGCTTATCATAAGTTTTTAAACATAGCTCCAAATGGCTCTGTTCTTCAGGAGCAATAATAATGACTTTTCCTCATGGCACAACATTGCTTCATCTGGTGTGACTGGGTGTTCTGGGCTCAGTGGGGGTGTAGCAAGACTCCTCTCCCCATTTTTGTGTTAGTGGTGAGAAATTTATATTTTTGTTCATAGGAGAAAGAGTAGCTTTGTGGTTTAATACACACAGTTCAATAAGATAATGAAGACTGCATTTGACAATGACTGCAAATAAAGAAAATTCTAATAGAAGAGGAACTATAACACTGTGTTTTTGACCTTTTAATTTCTGCCTGTTATTTCCGTAAAAGACTTTCCATTACAGCAATAAAATAACTAAAAATTAGTTAGGGATAGAATTTTCTCATACAATATCAAAATAATTTTGATCTATTAATGATTACTTTCTATTTAAATAAGAGATAAATTGATCTCATATAATATTTTCTTTCTTGGGCTTAGAAAGTATTTTATTAAACATTTTTCAAAAGTTTTTCTTGAATCTTGTAGAAGCAGTAATGTATGTTTTCATCAACCTCTTCAGTGTGCCTAACAAATTTAAAGATACAGCTCTCTTCCTTTGGATATGAGCCACTGTCCAAAGTGTCTTACCATTGGGATGATTATTGGTTCATTTATAACCTCAGTTTCTTCTTTATCTTTAATATTTTCCTGTTTTCTGCTTGTGTTTTCCTTGGAAATTTTATCCTGTTCTGATATTGCCTTAACTCTTCCCTTACTGAATATATTCATCTGTCCCTTTCTGTCTAATTTTAGTCTTAACACCTACCTTTCCATGATTTAATTAATTTTTTATATATGCTTTTTTTTCTGTGTAAAACAGTTCCCTAAAATGAACACGGTAATGAACAGTTGTGAAATCCCAAAACAAAGAGGGAAAAAAAAATACTATTCTTCAAATCTTAGTTCGTTAGAATTTAGGAGTAGATTGATCTTGTTAAGAAAAAAAGAAAATTAATATCTGCCTGTGTTGTCTCATGCTTTGTTTTTCCCCCCCTGGATATCAAGGTATGTGGGGTAAGTGTCTGGGACATTGCAAGGCTAGAGACTGGTTTTATGGATTTGCAAATGCTGTAGGTGATTGGGAGCAAATAGCGGCACACAGTTACAAGGAGGAAAGCGGTGAGAAACATGTTTAATAATAGACAGGGCCCTGGCTCTTTGAGATGAATTCAAGGGCTGTATCCTCTCACTGGATCTCGCTGCAACCCCTGCAAGTTCCCAGGGGAAGTATCATCATCTTGCACAGAGCAGGCTGCATGCAAAGGAACTGCATTGTAAGGACAGGGAGGACGTTTTCTAAGCGTTGCCTGGATGGAACAGTCTGGTCCCTGCTAGTTGGTGCTTTGAGGCAGTGCTTAGTCTTTCTAAATATATTTTAATCAATGTAAATAGTTTAGGGATTTTTTATTCTTAATAAACTTAATTCTTAAAAACCAACAAAAATAACTTCATTTCTTTTTCTGTTTATTTTGTGTTTTGTTTGTTTTTAAAGGTCACAACCTGGGATTGGACACGAGCTGAGAAAACATTTTCAGTTTATGAGATAATGTGCAAAATTCTCAAGGTATGATAAGAAAGTATAAAATAAATTGCCACTTTGACAGACGAGCATAACACTACCTTGCAAAAAGAGATCTGTTTTTTATCCCTTTAAAGTCAAATATCAGAAGTTCTGGTGTCAGTAGGTACAGAATTGAACTAGAAGGCATGGCAAAATTGGAAATAAACTGATTTTGACTAGGAAACTACTTTATTTCTCCATAATGCTGTGTGGAGTTTACAGTTTCACTTTAATGCCACATTTAACTAGTGCAACATTTCCTTTTCTAACTGAGAACCTAAAGAAGCAGTGATGAGTTTGGTTTTGTTTTCAAATATGTTGATGGAACTAATAGCAGCTGCAATGTATGATTTCACTAGGACTGAGAGCAGGAGCCTTAAAATATGCAATACCCTTTTGAAAACTTTTGTCTTATTTTTTCCAGTTTCTTCAGTCTGTCTGAAGTGTAATAAATGGAAGACATAATGATATATGTTTAGAAAGATAAAATTATGAGTAGCAAGCTAATTAAGACCATTACTGTACATTGTTTCAAAATTTTAAATGTGAATTCAATCAGAATTATTTTGTCTGATCTTTTCTCTGTTTAAAAACAGTGAAATCAGATGCTCAAAATTTCTCAAATGAGAAGGAAAAGAGATGCCTTTTTCTGTGCATGTGAGCTGTTTTCTGGTTTATGTTGGCTTTGAGGGCTTTTTGGTCCAAATTACATAAAAGGTAATTTTAACATTAGATGCAGATGCAGACTAGTATCAACAAGAAATATGAAAACACCATACTTTTTAAAATTGTTTTCCACTGGAAAGACCTTTTACTGACATAAATGGTACATTTCTTAGGTTTGTAGGTCACATAGGTGCACTATATTTTCCTTAGGGAGGCAGATTAAAGGTGTGATGGCTCAATAAAATTTGGAAATATTTTGCACTTGGGACTTAAAAAAATACCCAAAAAAACCCAAAGAAAAGGCCCCACCAAGTTTATAGTCTGAAAAACTCCTCTTTGCTTCTTTGAACAGAGAAGTGAAAAGTTTTCTTTTACTGCTATGTTGGCTGTGAGGCGGAGGCTTCATCAAGGAGTAGAACCTCAAACACAAAACATCCCATCCCTGTGGGATGTCCTTCAATTCCCGAGTGTGTGCAATGTTTGGCTCCTTAGCAGTGCTCATGTAGGAAGAGGAGTAACAGAAGTTGTTCACTTGGTGAAGGCATGGCACTAAAGGTGTAAGTGAACAATACTCTAAGAATATAGTCAGGCTTTGGAAATGTTGAAAAATACCACTCTTTACATGCACTTTTTTCCCCATTCCCTTTGGTAACCTCTGATTCCTTCAGGCCTAGGGTTTAATGCAATAAGTATGCAATTTAGCTCCTCCTTCTCAGAGAACTAAGTGCTTTAGAGCCAGCATGACTCCTCATAACTAATCCAAAGATTTTTTTATACTCTTTGAACAGAAACTTACTGAATGTGTGCCATTTAATTTTCTGTAATTTAAAGGTTCTTCGTTTTTTTTAGTAATTTGCCTTTTTGTTCTAATTCTCTTGCAATTTTGGCCATTTTTTCCTCCCCTTTGTTCTCTGTCTCCTATTCTTGCATACCAATACATTGTTTTTTTGGTGTTTTGGTTTTTTTTTTGTTTTTTCTTTTTTCCATTTCTCAGCCATGTAGCAGAAGTTATTACAGCTAAGGGGACAGTCCACAAAGCAGTAAAATCTAAACCAGTGCCTTTCCGGCATTGTTGTGTGGAAGCACAGAAAAAAGAACAAATACCCTGGGTTTTTTTATCATCAAGCCATCCAAACTCTCTGGGAAGAGGTGTAGGTCTTCCAGCCTCAGTCTATATTAACAGAGAGGCAATTGCAGCATAAGTAATATAAGAATATAATGTTCATGTTTCTTTAATACTTTATTCATATTCAGTTATGTGTGTATTTTTCTGTAAATATGGTCAGGCTTATAAAATGCTGAAATGTTTCAAGCAGGTTCTTCAGCTGACAAAAACCTGTAAATAATAAAAACTGGAAGTGGGAAAATCATTGCAATGGAATTGCAGCTTCTGACATTGGAGCATTAATCTTCACCATATTCTAGTTTTCTACAGCAGTTGCTATAGAACTTAACTGTGGTTTCACTAAATATAAAAGCAAATAAACCAAGAAAAACAGCTTCCCATTACACTACTGCATTGAACATCTGTAGAATCTCAAGGTTTTGTTCAGCTTTTATGCCAGCATCTTAAAAGTCTCCATTTAAACAGTGAGTGGTTTTTAGATCCATTTGAACAAGCCCCATGGATATTACTGAACCAGGGACTACCTAACAAAGAAAGGTTACTCTGGTGTTTTGTGATCACCTTCAAGCTTCTTCTCTTTTATAGTACCTCACATTCTTTTCTCTGTTTTAAAAACAATGAAAAACAGATGCTCAAAATTTCTCAAATGAAAAGAAAAGAGATGCCTTTTTCTATTCATGTGAATTTCTTAGTACATCTAAACTTCTTCTCTTTTATAGTACCTCAAATGCTACTTTTGTTATAAATCTATTTGACCTGGAGAATGACACAGCTTTTCTGGCTAATATTCACTCCAAGTAGAAGGACTTGCAAGTAGGCTGTGCTAACCTCTGTGTGAGTTAGCTCAGGAGTGAGAAGTAGTGCTTTAGAGTTAAGTGTTACCACATCATTTACTAAACAAAATGTATCTATATTGCATGGCTTGCTTGCTTTTAAATGAGATATTTTAAAAGATAATTGTCCATATTCAGACTTACATTCGTTAGGATGTACTGGCAATTTCAATAACTGTCCCTCGTGGCACAGAGCCAGAACTTGATTTAATATGTCTGTAAGCATTTTTTCTTCATTTTCCACTCCATAATTGTGACTAAAATTCTGATGAACTTCACAAGAACAGTCTGCATTAGAGAGACTTACTGCCCTAAGTTTGTCTTTTTAAATAGAATTGTAATTTTCCTCAGTTTGAGAGACTTCTCTAAGTTTCTCTTCATGACAGAAACACTATAGCAGAGAATATGAATTCCCAGATCCTGCTGAATGCATACTGAATGCATATTTTAGTGTTTCAGGATGAGAGAATTAATTTCCTGGTAACAGTAGAAATATTAAAGCAGTAAATAAATATTAATGTGTACATGCAATACTTCGTCTACTACTTAACTGATTTAATCTTCACAGAGAGTATATAGTCCAAAAATGTTAAATAAAACCCAAAACTTGTCTGGCACCATGACCAACGTTTTCTTTATATTTACTTGCCTGTGTTTACTGTTCTTTTTCGTCTAGTATTCATTCCAAAGACTCTGATTCCTTTCACAAACAATATAGAAGACTGGGATATCATTTTCGGTTGTCACAGTTGCCTTAGTTTAAGCAGCTAAAAGGCAGGATGTTCTGCACTTTATTCAGAGATGTCAGAGATAATTATGTGATTTATAGCTAGTGTATTCATATTTATAATACTCATTAAATAAATCACGATTTTGTTGTAACTGTATACTTTTTTCTTTTATTTTCTGTATCAGATTACAAAGAAAAAGCAGTAGAAGCAAGGCATTAAATCTCTATTCTAATTTGATTACAACCTTCTAAATAACCAGGAAGACCCTTAAAATTTGAAGCATAAAAATATGCTTTAAAAAGCAGTCTTTTTACTGTGTGAAAACCAGTTTGACTGACAGAAATTCAGCAAAATGTCACTGATCCCCTAATTCAGTATTTACAGTTTTATATAATTAAAAAAAAAAAAAAAAAAAAAAAAGCCAAACCCTCATAGCCTTTTTCATACACTATCATAACAATAATGTAATTAAAAAAAGAAGATTCTGTATAAAGTTTAGAAACTACCAGATAAAAATATGCATCGAGTAAATATGAAGCTATTCATTGTCAAGATTTTGGGGATGAAATAATAATTATTGACATGAAACCTAGGTAAAGCAGGCTGAGTACAAAAATCACATTTTAATTTAATTGGTTTAAATTATTCATTGTGAAATAATGGCAAACAGCAGTGGGCTATGTTTGATATATAAGGAGCATTTATGGAGATGCAAATAACTTAAGACCTAGGGGCATAAATGCATAAATTGGTAAGCATATGAAATAATTTATTAAAAATTCAATAGGTCTGTTTATTAAGGGGTGGAAGGAGAGGGAAAACAAGGCACTGAAGAACTCTTTAACCCTAAAAATAAGCCAATAAAAAGAAAGTGAGTAGAAATCAAAGTCAGGTAAGTTAAAATTACAAAGAAGGTAAGAACTGTATAAGCTCTGCTGATTAGTCAGTGAAAGGTACCAGCAAGAAGTTGAAAGCATTTAAACCACTCTTCTTTTTTTAATCACATGTTTATTCAGACTAATGTTTATGGGGTAGTGGCATCAGCATGTGGATGAAAATCTGTGATCCATGTTAAGAAATGTGTCAGGCAAGATAATGTAATGATACCACTTTTGACATTAAAATGTATCTATTAGTCATTTTCAATAGAACTGCTGGAAGAATTTGCTATCAATAAATATTTCTAATTTATTCTCCCAGAAACTTGTTTCACCTTATCCTTTATTTTGGGGAGTAAAGCCCCATGAACAGTCAACTAATTTTAATGTTGCAATTAAAAAATATTCAATGTTCCAGAAAAGCAGGTAATTCTATCACTAACCAAAAAGGCACTAACCAAAGGGGCCTTATCATGTTCAGTATTTCGAAACAGATTTAACTCTGTATGTCTTTTTGGTATCTCTTGATACACAGTTTTAACATGGGTGTTTTAAGAGTGTGTACATGTGTAAGTGTATATAATTTAGCAAGGTTAAATTACCTTGGATAAATTTGTAAATAGTTTAAATATTTAAACAATTTTTCAAATAGGGGGTAGAAAAAAGTTTGTTACATTTTTCAGGTAAATTATGAAGAATAACATAAGAAATTGCACTTCTCTGTCCTTTCTGCTTCAGTTACTTATCTTTTTCAGCTCATCCAAACATC